AGCATTCAGGCGTGCCCGTGCGGCTGCCAGAAATGCCTATCGTAGGAAACGCAATGAGTATTTCCAAATCCTATGTGCTGAACATAGTCGCAATCCACGCAAACTGTGGCATATCATCAACACTGTAACATCTCGAACTCGCCAACGTATTGAGCCAATGTGTGATGTGGAGGATGTCGCCACAGCCTTCAGTAAAGTTGTGACTGATAATGATAGACCTCCTGTGCTCACCATGCCACAGGGTCCATCACGCCCCACAGCCTTATCAGCTTTCCAGTATGTCCGAACCAACTCTGTTTATCGTCTCCTGAGAGGCATCAATGCAGCCAAGGCCACAGGCAGTGACAGCATCCCAGGAGTACTTCTGAAGTGCTGTGCTGATATCATTGCTCCGTCTGTTGCTGCTCTCTTCAATGCCTCACTATCCCGTGGTACAGTACCCTCTGCCTTCAAGCTTGCACACGTATCACCGCTATAAAGCTGGTGACCCAGCAGTTCCCACTCACTTCCGTCCCATTTCCCTTCTCCCAATCCTGTCCAAGCTATTAGAGAAGCTGGTGCAGAAGGAACTTGTATCAGTCATGAACATCACAGAGTCACTTCCCTCCACTCAGTTTGCATTTCGCAGCAGCCATTCCACAGAGGATGCACTAGCTCTCATCACCAACCGTATCCTTACTGCCCGGGACAAACAAAAGTACACAGGTGTCTGCTTACTGGACATGTCAAAAGCATTCAATAAAGTTAGACATCACCAACTAATTCTCGACCTCTTCAATGTTGGCGTCACGGCCACAGCCCTGCGGTGGTTCATGTCTTGCCTCTCCGAACGAACCCAGCGTGTGTGTATCGGACCATCACGCAGCACTATCACTCGCTGCACCTGCGGAGTGCCACAGGGATCTGTGCTCGGCCCCATTTTGTTCAACGTATACACTCGGGAAATACCCTATGTTGCTGGACAAACTCTGTCTTTGCAGTTTGCAGATGACATTGGTCTCACTTGCAGCAAACCGACTAAGCCTGAAGTGTCTGCAATTCTGTCTGCGTCAGCTTCAGCTATTGCTAACTGGCTAAACGACCGTGGCTTGATCCTGAATGCTTCCAAAAGCCAGGTGATCTCCATTTCTGGGAACCTACCTGAGAAGCATACTCCACTCTCGGTGAACTGTAACGGGACCCTGCTGCCACTTGTGGAGTCTGCCAGGTACCTTGGCATAACATTTGATAGCAACATGTCTTGGGATGAAGCTGTCAGCTTCAGCTATTGCTAACTGGCTAAACGACCGTGGCTTGATCCTGAACGCTTCCAAAAGCCAGGTGATCTCCATTTCTGGGAACCTACCTGAGAAGCATACTCCACTCTCGGTGAACTGTAACGGGACCCTGCTGCCACTTGTGGAGTCTGCCAGGTACCTTGGCATAACATTTGATAGCAACATGTCTTGGGATGACCACGTAACCCGCTGTGCAAACCGTGTATCACGAAAGATCGGAGTCCTGTGGAGGATGCGGCGTTGCCTCAGCACACAGGGTCGGATAACTTACTTCCAGTCCATCATAATAGGGAGGTTCCGGAGTACGACTTTTCGTGCCAAAATCCGTAGAGGCGCTACGGATTTTTTGTACGTCGTTTTCGAGCGGTGAAATGTTCCGGAGTACGGAACTTATGTGTTTGCCGTCATTGCCTAGGTAACGATCGCAAACACGTCACATTCCCGCGCTATGCCTTTTTACTTTGAAAATTTGTACCGAAATCAAAACGTCCCGCGGAAAATCGATGTTTCTCGTACCAAATTTGTACGCGAAAAATCTTTCTGCACCCGATGACGCAAAATCTCCATACGAAACATGGTTCGTGTGAAAGCCAGTCCACACGGATTCTCCGTGCCGAAAAATCGTATGGAGCATGCCTGGAAAAAATCCGTAGCGCCCATACGGATTTTGGCACGGAAAATCGTACCCCGGAACCTCTCTAATGCCTGATCTTCTATGTGGATCAAATGCATTCTCGACATCTCTGGCAGCCAGGCACTGTCATCGACTACAGGTCCTGCAAAACCGTGGTGCCCGTGTAGTGTTCGGACGCCCGCCATGGACATCCGCACATGACCTACTGGAGCGCCTCTCACTGTATCGGGTTGCTGAAGTACACAAGCAGAAGCTGGCATTCCTTGCATGGCGCTGCCGTTACGGCCAAGCAAGTCCTGAGCTTCAGGTTCTCTTGCTGCCAGCTTGTGGCCGGTCCACGCGCCTGGACTCTGGCATGGGTCTCTGCCTGCCACCCGCCCGCAGCAAATCTGGAAAGGGGACATTCGCCTTCCAGGGTGCGCTATGCTGGAACAACCTGCCTAGCAGTATTCGCTCCATCTCCGTTCCTCGTCAGTTCCGTGCTGCAGCAGTCCCGTTTCTTCTATGAACTGAGAACATTGCGAAGCAATTTTATGTGTGGCTGTCAATGTACATGTGTGTGTATATGTGTGTGTGTGTGTGTGTGTGTGTGTGTGTATGTGTGTGCGTGCGCATGTGCGTGTGTGTGTGGGGGGGGGGGGGGGGGTATGTGTCCGAGTATGTGTGCATGTGTGTGTAGGTGTGGGTATGTACATGTATGTGTGTGTGTGTGTGTGTGTGTGTGCGTGTGTGTGGGTGTGCGTGTGTGTGGGTGTGTGTGCGTGTGTGTGGGTGTGTGTGTGTGGGTGTGTGCGTGTAGATGTGCATGCTTCGACTTCTCTCTCTTCTCTTCTCTTCTCTCTTCCTGTCGGTGTCTTCCGCTTCTGGGCCGGCATGGCCCATACTTCATGCGTGCTTGTTCCTGTTGTGGTTATGTCTACTGTGTCTTGCCGCTACTCCGGCTTTGGCCGTGACCACGATGTGTTTCCCCCTTTTCTCCTTTATCCTTTCCTTTCTCTTTTTGCTAAAAGCTTTCTTCTCGCCGTGACCACGATTTTTCTTCTTTTCTCCTTTATTCTTTTTCTCTCCTTCTTTTCTCTTCTTCCTTTGCTGAGAGCCTTCTGTTCCCATATTTTCTTCACATCTGTGTCCCCATTTCTGGGTTACTTGGACTTCATTCGCTTCCTTGTCATTCGACATGTTCAGCCCGTTCGGTTTGCGAATTCAAATATACACAACCACCACCCAATCATAAGTTTATAATGAGCCAACATAAGAAAGCTACTGAAGAAAAATGAAATAAATAAATAAAGAATTTAAACACACGGCGAGGAGACAATAATTTGATAACCGCAATCAATAAAACTAGCTGAACCGACATTTGTGTACTTTATTCATGCAATGTAAAAACGGTGGAGACGATTCTCTATAATAGTTCAATTTTTGTTTCAGTGTCCTTTAGTACAACGACGATTCCTGATGAGTGTTGTACGAAAACTTGTTTGAATCCATATTTTTCCCTGCACCATTTCTTCATATTTTCATCGTTTTATTGCACATCGTCTCCACCGTTTTTACATTGCATGAAGAAAGTACACAAATGTCGGTTCAGCTAGTTTTATTGATTGCGGTTATAAATAAATAAGACAAAACAAACAAGAAGGGGATAATAATAGTGGAAAAATGGGGGAGATTGAGAGATGTGTGGGTAGCTCTCGAGTGATACGGCAGGGTGAATCTAGACCAGAGTGGCTGGCAACTTCGTCGCAGGTGTGTGCAGCAGTGACTTTCAGAGGTGGTCTGTAGCCCACAGCCAACTAGTGTGTAGCAAGTGCTTCCATGCAGCTGCCTTGAAGCGGTGCAGCCGTTGCAGGGACATTGGTGGCTGGAACAGGGAGGGTGGCAGTTGATTCCACAAACTAATGTGGGCAAACGGGAAGGACCGCCTGATGTACTCCGGTGCAGCTGGTGGTAGGCAATTGAGGAGCTGGTGAGGATGGGTCACCGCATGCGTGTGTCAGGTTCGTGGACGAACCACAGTGGGTGCAGCTGGTGGGACAATGTTGGTCAGCTGTTGTGGGCTTCCGATGCACTGAAGCTTGTACATGTAGCACAGCCCAGAGAGAGTGCATCGTGCAGACTCTGGAGGAGCACATCTGGTCCTATGATGGCCATTGCCTTCCACTGAATGCTGTCGAGCCTGGCCAGATGGGTCGGGGCAGCAGACATCCAGACCAGTGGAGCATACTCCAGCATAGGGCGAATGAATCCTCGGTAGACACTCAGACGGCCATTGGTGTCAAGTATCCTCGCGGCTCGGTGCAAAAACCCAAAACGTTGACTTGCTCTCACCGCCATGCTGCTGATGTGCTGGCGAAACGAGAGCTTTGAGTCGAACAATATACCCAACAGCTTCAGTGTTGATGCCTGGGCAATGTCGACACCACCAAATGAGATGCCTGGAGTGGCTGGGTCCAAGGATCATGTGCACAGTAGCTGCTGTGACTTGGATGGCTCAAATGTCACCCGCCACCGCTCACCCCACTCTTCAAGGCCATGTAGGGCATCTTGTAAGGCGGCATTGTGGGGAGCAGCAGTTCCTAGTTGCAACAGGCTGTATAGCGTCTTGTCATCGGCAAAGGAGCTAAGGCGCGTTCCGGGGTAAGACATTGGTCGATGTCGCTGACGTAGATAAGAAATATAGTCGGCCCGAGGATACTTCCCTGAGGTACTCCCGCGGTGATAAGCTGAGCAGATGAAGTTTGACCGCTGACCACAACTTTCAGTTGGCGGTTGATGCCTTCCATTACCTTGGAGAGGATCGAGAGACGAGACACTGGGCGGTAGTTGGCCGGATTTGATTTGGAGTTCTTTTTGAACACTGGCACGACATGCGCCAACTTCCAGCTACATGGCAGGATTCCATATCGGCAGTGTGTAGAGTGTCGGTGCAGTGTGCTGTGAGCTGTGTGCAGTGTGCTGTGTGCAGTCGCAAATCATGAACACCCGCTGGGACGTTTGTACTGAACCGGCATACTCGCTTGATCTGATCTGATGTTAGGTCAAATGTGTGCGCTGTTGTTCCCGTTTTCTTTTTTCTTCCTTTGCAGAGTATACGTATTGTGACCCGCCGGCTCCAGAGTCAAACAAGCGAAATTTCGCGTACGTCAATGGTAGTTACTCTCGCGGCACAGCAGAATGCAACAGTGGTTACATGTTACAAGGCGACTTGCCAATGAGGTGTCAGGGTGGCAACCGATGGAGTACAGCGTGTATATGTAAGAGAGTGCAGAATGAATGATGGGCTAAATTTTGTGGACATTAATTAAAGCTGATCGAGTAAAGTCACAAACGGTTTTATCCCCGCAGCTATGCAAAAGACGTTAACTTCAGATACGTCTAGCACTAGCCTGGGTCTATACAGCTTTAAACCGTTTGTGACTTTACTCGATCTGTCAGTGATAGAGAATTCAGCTGTTTTGGGGAATTAAGCTAAGGTGAGTCTTGGCAATTCTGAGTTTGACTCAAGCCGTGTCCATTCTATTTTATACGGTAGCAAAACAGGTCAAGAACAGTTTCTATCAACTGCGAATCACTGGTCGAAGGTAGTTCAGCCTATGTACAGCGTATTCACAGGAGAAACTGCTGGCGGAATGAGCAGAGAGTTCAGTTTGTGTCGCTTTCGCTCGACTTACTTTTGACCCTGCGTCGCTGTCGTCATCTGCTGCACGCGAGTTGTCATCTCTCTCGAGTCGTTTTTCTGCTTGTTTCAGGCTTGCCTTAGCTTCTTTGATCACACTACACTGAACTTGATGTCGCCGTCGTTTTAAAAGTAAGTTGCCTTTCAAGTTGCGTGATCTGCCACCGTGGCGATTACTGGTTACCACCAGGGAGTCGTAAAAATATTGTATGACTCCCTGGTTTCATTTTCGCTCTCCAGAACTCCGCGAAACCAGGAGTACAGGCAAAGCCAAACTGATTCCAATTTCTATGATGGCTACTCCTGCCAGCACTGAACGGCAGCGGCCAGCAAGACCAGTTGACTTACTGTAGTCACAAGGCTTGCGTCGGACTGCAGACTTCTGAATGAATGCATGGTCATCAGCATTCTAATCTCGGCTTTGGGCAGGTTGAACAAGAACTTGAATTCAGAATTATTTCATTATGCCATGCGATCGGAGCAGCTCCTTGTTTACTCGCCCATTGTGTGGGCTCGCTGCTTCGTTCCATCGCTCTCTATCACTCTCAAACTCAGTGCTAGAGTAGTAGAGAGGCCGAGCAGCGAATTATCCCCTCAGAGAAGTGGTTTTTCAGTTTCGATTGCCACGACTGTCATCACTATCGATTTCGCTCGGCCTGTTGTAAAAGGTCGCTTTCCTTGCACCGCACCTCTTTCATGACATGCCAGGGAAGGCCGAGAAAGTGATCGCGACTCATTTCTCGGCAGTTTGTGCGCCAACCAGTGCCTCAAAAATCCATCACGAAGTTTTTTTAGCCGAGCAAGTAACTGGTGGTGTTAGTGGACATTATAGCGTAACTTGTAGTTCGATGGTCCTTTTTTCTCTTCTATAAAATTAAATAAACAATGTGAATAACAAAGCCACAAAGTTATTATTATTTCCAGGGAAAGCTAAAAGAAACTGCATGCCTGGCCTTCATATTCATGCCACATGAAGCCAAGAGCTCAAAACCAAGATTTTGACGATTTGTGTATGAGCCAATGCACAAGAGCACCTCTCTTATCAGGCCACTTACGTGTTGTGTGGTGAATTCAACAGGAAAGGCAGTTCTAGCTGGCGCAAACATAGTCTACAATTCCAATTGAATTGACTGTGGGCAATACCGGATGGTAAAACATTTTTTTTTCATTTTGTCCTCTCACCATCCATTCAAATACATTCTAAGCTATGTGTGCATTTGAACTGGGATGTTGAGCCAACGTCATCATGGCTAAATACAGGAAGGAGAAAATGTTACGAGTTATGACCAATGTGGTTGCCAATGTAACCGAAATGCATACAGGTAAGTAGGGCCTTATTTGATAATCGTCTCTGGGGTGCTCTGTTTATGTCCTGGGACAATCTATACCGGAGAAAACCACACTTCCTTTGCAAACGTGTTCATGTCCCGAATTGGTCTGTACACCCTACACTCTGCCCTTGCCTTCATGCTATGTACGGAATTCTGAATTCGGACCGTGATAACATTATTTTAGTGATGTGTGCAGCTCGGATAGTTTGCTTATTATGGCGGAATTCCGCTATTACATTATTTTAGTGATATAGTGCATATGCCGGACATACACAATACCGATCTCAAGGCTACAACATAATATACATTCTCATTGCCGTAGTAACCCCACTAGGTCATCAACCAATATAGTTGATCCAAGTATCCATTCAGCCCCACACGCTCACCTTGGTCAGTCGAAGAAGGTTGAGAGTAACTGTGATTTCAAGATTGAAGGTCGAAGGTTGGTTGGTACTTTTGATCAGAAGCAGCAGGAGTTACTTGGTCCGACTTATTAAAATGTGCGTTTCGCTTCGAACGTCAGCCAAACAAATTCAAATAATCTCAGGACGGAACAAACTTTCCAGCTACCTAACACTATCCTTCAGTTGTCGATTTGTGATGTTGAAGAAGAAATGGCTCCAACCCCAAAGGAGGCAGCGCCTCAGGATCCTAGTCGACTCGAGCATTTTGCGTGAAAATTTTGTCGTCAGAGGACTCCTGTTGCTTCTCGCGAAACACAGAGAAGGCCTGGTGCTGAAATCAACACCCCACTGCGATGGGGAATTGTCACGGAGTACCAGAAACTCCTGGGCGATCGTTCTCGAGTGCTTCCTGGCGGATTGAAATCGCTGCAGTCGCTGTTTCCTTGGAAGAATCAAGTTCAGCAAACGCGTCATCCAGAAACTCGTGCAGAAAGCACCTGCATCGCTCCGTCCAGTTTGTGCTGATCTCTCTCGCATTCATTCACGATGTGACGGCCGACGAATCAAGATCACAGAAGAGATCGTCGAGCAGTTGATCGATATAAACAACCGCCCTTGAGGTCGACTTTCAGGCGACAACCTAGCTGGAAATCTGAAGCGCGCGCAGCAAGGGTGAATACGGTGCGTGAACATGGTGAATGGTGCGGAGTCCTCGCCGACTCCTCGGAGCCCCGATCGCGATGCGTCACAAGATCGCCAGTCTCCGGGGCCAGTGGATTCGTGAAACAGGCACTGGCAGGGAAGAGCACACATGGTCTGATGCAGCTGACTGTGTGACAGTCATGTGGACACAGATCAGACTGGGTAGTTCTACGCGCGCGGCACACGGTGATGAGAAGTAATTTTTTTATGCGTGGTGGTTTACTTGTTCGCCTCATTTGAAAGTGTCGTGGGAGCGTCAGTCGAAAACACCTACAGCCACCATTCTGGCAGTCGTACTGCACGAGGAGGAGGCGAAGTCGATCGTCTAAATCGTGCCAATGGAGTGAAAAAATCAAGGAAGCGCAGTGTAGCTTGGAGGAGATAAAACAATTTCGACGTTTTGCAGGTTGACGCACTTGAAGAAGCGCCCTGAGACACCAGCAGAGATGAAAACTAGAAGGTCAGGCCAATAAACGACAGAGTAGTTATCTATCTATCGTCTCTTGGTCGATTTTTTAGTACAGGTGCTCCTTTGGACATGGGCTTGAGTTTTGAAGCGAAGCGCACATTTTAATAAGTCGGACCAAGTATATGAGAACAAAAAGGATCGAAGCGGGAAGAGCCAACCAATCAGACCATAGATAGCTTGTTGCTATGCCGATTTGACCAATTGGAGAAGACAAGGAGAAATGCGTATTATTCAAGAATTACTTCCTCCGTATACAAAAACTTCCTGACTTTTTTAAGGCTGCGCACAGCTCTGGAATTATTCCGTTTGACTTGGAATAACACTCGTGGCATTGTCTAACCTTTAGTTGGGGCCATTATTTTTCTGGTGTTCTGAATGTGCAAAGTACGTTCAATTCCAGTATTCTTGACTGTGTTCCACAAATGCCGTGTCTGGATAGTTTGGTTGCGCCGTCTGATCTGTTGGAGTTACAGCAGGCAATCACGCAATGTCGAAGTGGCAAGCTGAAGGTCAGTCAGGAATCCTGCCGGAGATGCTCAAAGCCTGTCAAGATCTGTTTACTGACCACCTACTGGAGCTTATCCATTCAGTCTGGGACAGTGGCAGTGTTCCTGGCGACTGGGTAACGCACAGCTGGTGCCTATCCCCAAGAAAGGTAACCTTGCGGAATGTGACAACTGGCGAGGCATAGCTCTCCTAGACGTTATTGGTAAAGTGGTTGCTCACGTCATCCAAAGCCGGCTTGCTGATAAACTAGACAATGTGCTACCAGACTCTCAATACAGCTTCCGAACAGAACGTGGGTGTGCTGACATGATCTTTGCGGCAAGGCAACTAATCGAAAAGAGCTACGAGCATGAGCAGAAGTGTTTCTTCATCTTCATTGACCTGAAGAAAGCCTATGACTCAGATCCGCAAGAGTGTCTGTGGTTAGTACTGCGAAAAGCTGGCGTCCCTCGAGAAGCTGATCGCTGTTATTCGTGCATTCCATGACGGCATGACCGCAACTCTCCGTCTGTTGAATGTTGAAGCTGACCCCATCCCTGTATTGAGCGGCTTGCAGCAGGGATGTTGCATGGCCCCTGCCCTATTCAACATCTTTATGTGGGCAGTGATGCATTGTTGGCGCCAGCACATGCGGCCTATCCCTGGTGTAGGCGCAAAGGTCTTCTTCTAGCCAGATGGGAAGCTACTCCACCACCGTAGCCGCCGTGATAGATCCCTGGAGCTGACAGAGTGTCAGTTTGCTGATGATTCCGCTCTTGTGGCCGCGACACGCCAGGCCGCAGTTTCAGACTTGGAGGTATTTGTGGATGTATGCTGCGATTTTGGCCTCACCGTCAGTGCCAAAACCAAAATCATGGTCTCTGGCCCCAACATCTCTAACGACGATCTAGAGCCGCTCGCGATTCGAACTATGGAGATTGCCCATGTGTCGTCTTTTCGTTACCTTGGATCCAACATACACAGCAACGGCCGATGTCATGATGATGTCCCATCCCGGATTGCACAAGCTGCCAAAGCGTTTGGCGCTCTGAAGAAATCGATATTCCACGATGTAACACTGACAATATCCATCAAACGGTCAGTGTACAATGCTTGTGTGCTGTTGGCTCTATGGGTCCGAATGCTGGGTACCACTACAGGCTGATGTTCATGCGTTGTCTGTTTT